TGAACTGCTGGTGTGTGAGCACTAATCCTTCTAATCTGATGGGGAATTTCACATCACAGCTGCCCACCATGTTCTGAATTTTAAAATCCAAAAATTTTGCAGGAAACCCCAGTTTCTGAACAACTCTTGCATACTTCCTTGCTGCCAGTCTGGATTGCTCCTCACTGGAGTGAGAAAAGGATATCTGTATTATTTCCTCAGTTAAGTACTACTTGAAGCAAACAGCATTAAACCACAAATATTTAACTGGGGGGAAAAAAAAAAAAAAAAGACCTCACGGGGGGAAGGCACACCATCACAGCTGCCCACCATGTTCTGAATTTTAAAATCCAAAAATTTTGCAGGAAACCCCAGTTTCTGAACAACTCTTGCATACTTCCTTGCTGCCAGTCTGGATTGCTCCTCACTGGAGTGAGAAAAGGATATCTGTATTATTTCCTCAGTTAAGTACTACTTGAAGCAAACAGCATTAAACCACAAATATTTAACTGGGGGGAAAAAAAAAAAAAAAGATCTGCTGAGGGGAAGGTCACATGCAAAATTTTTTCATCCAGAATGAACAACACTGGTTGTCATGCTAGTTTTGGTAGTAGGATCCTGAACACTATCAGCGCTGTACTTGCTGCTCATGAGGCAGAAAACAGTTAGAACTCCACATCTTTCGCACTCTTAAAATACCGACCCGAGTCCCTCTAAGGAGACATGAAAAATGTTTAAGTTTTCACTGTAGAACAACTTTGAACTACTACTACTGCTAGAAAATGCCTATTTCTACAAAAATCTGTAAACTGCCAAAATCCCCTCCTTGATTTGTCCCAGGCATTCACACCCGCACAGAACACGGCAGCACAGCCTTACACGCGGTTTGCTTCAGGTGTGTAAACAGCGGAGGATCTGTCTGCTAACGCAGGGTAAGACGACCGAAGCCTCAAGTGACAGCAGGCAGAGAAAGCGTTTCCTGTACAACTCCAGTCATTCACCTCTGCTCAATAGCTGATTCCTTCTAGATTCCGAACAGACTTCTTCAGGAGTGGAATTTCTCTCCCACCCACTGGA